AATCATGATATGGTATGCCTCTAACACCTGCAGCTGGGTGAATTACTCTTGGAGAACAATTTTATCTAGTATTTTGACCATTCTTGTCTGAATTATCCACAAACTGGCTTTACAAATTATTAATTTTAAGTGTTGAACAAACACTGAACATATCAATCTATCAATTTTTACCTATTTGGCACTATGTGAAGATGAGTCCATACAGTGTTATCTCTGCTCCCTGATGGGGGGAACTTGCAGGAATTTATGGGGCTTGGCTTGGAGCCTGTATGAATGAAATAAGATGCATGCAGTGTAGTTGTAGCTGTGTCAGTTCCAGGATATTAGAGACCTAGATGGGTGAGGTAATATCTTTTATTGAACCAATTTCTGTTGGTGAGAGAGAAGCTTTCAAGTCTGGAAAATCTGTTCTACTTTGCATTTTTGCTGTGACATTGGGAGTTCCCTTTTCAGACCTGGAACTCAGTGTGGTTCAAAAGCTTCATTCTCACCAACAGAAGCTGGCCCAATAAAAGAGAGTACCTCGCCCACCTTGTCTCTGAAATGAGATGAGCACTTCCACTAGGGATAGCTAATACATATGCTAGTTTTTGAAAATCTTCACCCATATTCCCATGTGAACATTTGCAAGATGAGATCTTTCCTGAATGAACATTTTGTGTGAATAAAAACCTCTTTGCACAGATTTTGTTCATGGAAAAGCAAACAGCTGGGTGAGAATGTGGCTAAATCAAAACAATTCAGAATTTACAAATATGGTTGAATGAATAACTTTTCATGCTATTCCTCAGCTTCTGTAATTGGAAGTCATAATCGTAATTTAGGTTGCATTATTTGAGAGTATGCAAAGAGCAAGCCATGAATAATTAAGATGGTGAATGAAATAAAGTGTGCACAGCTTTTCAAAAGACTCTCTTCCAGTATATATTTGATGGAGCAGACAACCTTATAACTTACCATCTTCCCAATCACATTTCAGAATGATACAGATCTTGGACCCAAGACCTTTGCCCAGCTCCATGATGCCCGTTGATGTGGCCATGAGAATTTGCTTAGCCCATTCGCCACCTCTGAAGAGAATTCTCAGCCCTCTTGATGACTATCAAAGAAGAAACTTTGTTAACAGATTCAAGCCTCTCAGACCATGTCTCAATGTGAAACGTGAATCTGACTGTCGAAACAATGACTGGAACCGCTCCCCAAGCCGAGCCAAGAAGCGAGTAGTGTTTGCAGATTCAAAGGGGCTATCTCTGACTGCAATCCATGTCTTCTCTGAAATCCAGGAGCATCCGGTGTGGGATCTTCAGTATGACTTGTTAGACCTTGAAGACATAACTGCTGGTTTAAAACTACATGAAGAGAAAAATTTGATTCTGGGTTTCCCTCAGCCTTCAGCTGATTACTTAGATTTTCGGAATCACTTGCAGAAGAACTTTGTCTGTCTCGAGAATTGCACCCTCCAAGAAAGGGCTGTGGCAGGGACTGTGAAAGTGAAAAATGTGAGCTATGAGAAGAAGGTTCAGGTTCGAATTACCTTTGATACGTGGAAAACCTACACTGATGTTGACTGTGTGTATATGAACAATGTGTATGGCGACTCTGACAGTGACACCTTCTCATTTGCTATTGAGCTGCCTCCAGCCATTCCCACTCAAGAGAAGACTGAGTTCTGCATTTCTTACCAAAGTGGTGAGCACATCTTCTGGGACAATAACGAGGGTCAGAACTACAAGATTGTCCATGCAGAATGGAAACCTGATGGCGTCCAAGCACCAGCATCTACTAAGAGAGACTGCACAGTTCATAAGATTCCAAGGAAGACACATGAAACAGAGTGTGAGCAGCTTGGCAGTCCGAGGCTGTCAAATGGCTTCTTTCCTGAGTGGCAAAGCTGGGATAGGATTGAAAATTCATCCCCATATTGGTGAATGAACTACTAGCCCATGAGCATTCCTGCTTTCAGTAACTAAACAGTGTTAGTCTTCAGCCTCTGCTTCATGTACAGTACACCAAAACCTGCTAGAAAGGTTGAGACTTGTTGAGTTAAGCAATTGACCATCTGAGAACTTCTAAACTTAACCACATCTTACCCTTAGAGAAAAAGGGGTCTATTTCAAAATGGAAAAACAAGCCCCTCAGTCAGTTACCTACTGTAGAAATAGCATGTCTGTGTTAAGTATATGTGACTTTCTTTGCTATTCACTAGCCTTAATCATGGGGTAAGAAACACTTGTGAGGAAGTACAATGTGTGGTGGAGTTTTGGGAAGCTGTAATAATTGTGTGGGGGGATGTTATGTGAACAGAGCCACAATTCATTTTTTTGCATGGCAGAGTATGTAGTAGAGAGGAGATATTGCTGCCAAGACAGAGGTTTGTCTTAACCCTCTACATCCTCGTGGAAACAAAATGCAAGGTTATGATTCTGTGGTATGAATAAGGAGTATCTTTTTGGGTGGATAACAGAAAAGTCAGAGAAGGGGAAGAGGTAAGATGCACTGTATATTTTAGGAAAGCGCAAAAACTTTTGGAAGCTGGTCTTCCAAAAATCACATGGGGCAATTTTTAAGGGGTAAAAATGAATTAAGCAATAAAGAAAGTGCAATTAGCTTAAACTGCAGCCTTTTTGTTCTAACTACTTCATATATGAAAATAAGTGACAGAGTAATGGTAGATGGTAGGAGTGAACTCTGTAAATATGCTTATGTATATTTAATCTTGTGGGTGGTGCCTATCTTGTACCATACGCTCAAAGTTCTGCCTTCACTTATACCCATGCAATCCCACTGACTTCACAGGCAGAATTTGGCTCTATGTACATTTAAGAATTCACGTGCCTTTTAAAAATCCCCTAGATGCCAAAAATCATATCTGGAAAAAATCATTTACAAGACAGACCATGTAACTTATAAAATGTCCTAATTTATAGGCGAGTTAAATGTGTTTGGTTCATCTGCTGATCTGATCTTTCTTATGAATGTTTGTCTTGTCTCTTATGGTATTTTGTTCCCTATTGTAGTCAGTAACACTTGAGTCAGAAATAGTTTTCCAAAGCAGTAAAGTAAACTTAGGCAACTGAGGTCCTTCATATTGAAGATGGTGAGGTAACTGCACTTTTTGAAAGCTAATCTGTTGAAAAGAGCAGGCTTGCCATTCGTTTTCTCTAGAAAGAATACTTTTCATAGTTAAATATCTTGCACATAAATAGGAGCAGTTTTCTATGCTGCTTCTCATACTTCAGTCATTTTCTGTGAAGTCAAAATGTTTGTGGTGTGGTGTGGTTTGTTTTTACATATTTCAGCAAACCCAGTGTATTTTTGCACTTTGTGCTTCATATTCTGAGCTATCAAAGTGTAAAGATAATCTTTTTCCTGTGAGAATGAAGTGGGAGATATTAAGAATGTATGGGATGCAGCAACTCTAAATATGTACAATACACACACCTGTGTTCACTTGTCTGCTATACTGAGCTGATGACATGAAAATGCAAGTCACATTACTCACTCAGATACTGAGGATTGGAGCATTTTTGTAAGGTGAAATTAGTCTCTTCCGCTACCACCCAAATATTTTTTTACTGTAACTATCACTGTACTATGTAAACTGGTCCATTTTAAGAATAAATCATATTTTTTTTGTTTTTGATTTCCCCCCCCTTAATCCCTCAGGAAAACAAGCACTTTCCTTCACCATCCATTGTCCTGACAATTAACTCTCAATTGCCCTCAATCACAAAGCAGAAGACCTGGATCAGTGTTATGGTCTGGAAGGGAGCACCGCTAGAGTTGGTCAAAAACTAACATTTATCCTATTGAAAACTTCAATTTTCAACCTGAATTTAAATGAAAAAGATAATTCTGAATTAAAGGTCTGGAAGAATTTCAGTAATATGTTGTTTTGACACAAACAATTAGACATTACCAAATTGAAACATGCGACTGGGGTGTTTTGAACCAACTCGGAACATGAGTTTGACAGACTGTCTGCCTGAGCTGTTGGCATGTTTCTAAGAGTGGTAGTTCAAGTGCCTTATACCTCCATTCTCTTTCGTGGGCCGGGCTTCTACAATGGACTACATTTCCCATGATACACTATATTAGTGGCACTGATACAGTTCAGGCAAAGGGGGAAGACAATGATCCATCTAGTCCAGCCAGGGTGTCTGATCTGTAGGGGAGAATAGGGACATGAGGCATCTGAACTCTCTCGCCCATACAGCAAATCAGGTGGGCCTAGATTAATGTCAAATCGAACCAAAAAGGAACATTTGGACTTCGTTTGTCAAAACAATGTTTTTATTGGGATGAGCTGAAATTAAAATTGATTTTGCTAATTACTTCCTGTTGGAAGATCAAGCTTTCCCAGGGAAAAATTTCAATTTTGCAGAAGCCCCTCCTTCCCTCAAGCTATCTTCCTGGAAAGGTCCTGACAGCTCTGAGCACAGCAAAAGCAACTCTTAACACTGCAGAATAGCAAGGTTGCTTCACTAGCATTTCTTGGCAGGGGCCAGTAGTGGGAATTGAACCAAGTCCATCTGCAGCTGGAAGGATAAGCCTCTATAGTAGGGGTCTCAAACTCCTGGCGTGCGGGCCATCTGTGGCCCGAACACCTCCCCAATGTGGCCCGCAGGGCTCCTGCAATTTTGGGGCTGGGTCTCTCCCTTGGCCCTGCATGCCGTTGCTGTTTCCTATGCACTTGCTCTATGTGACTGCCGGCCCTGGCGTGGGGTGGGGCTATGCCTCTGTGCACTGCCCCCACCCCGAGCACCCCTGTGGCCAATGGGAAGCTGTGGGGGGCGGGGCCTGGGGGCAACAGCGTGCAGAGGCCCCCTGGCCTGCCCCAGGTAAGTGCTGCACCCCCTGACCTCCTCCCACAGCCTGCCTCCCCCTCCCCCACATACTCCCTCCTGTCCCCAAACTCCCTCCCAGAGCCTACACCCAGCACCCAAACTCCCTCCCAGAGCCTGGACCCTAGGCCCCCTCCCAGAGCCCAACCTCTCACCCCTTCTGCACCCAAACTCCCTCCCAGAGCCTGCACCCCAATCCCATCCCCCAGACCTCCCGCACCCAAACTCCTGCCCAGAGTCTTAGGCCTGTGGGGGGTGGAGTTTGGGGGGTGGGTTCTGGGCAGCATGACTGACATTGGCCTGTTGGGAGGATTTGAGTTTGACCCCTGCTCTATAGCCTGACTTAGTGACACAATACTTTAGCAGGCTCCCCTCCCCTAGCTGGGGCCTGATGAATAGCAGAGGAAAACAAAGCACCATAGAATGGGTTACACTGCATAGGAGAACTCTCTCACTCCTCAAAACAATTTGGCACTAATTTCCCTCCAAGTGGTGTAAGAAACTGGGGTTATGAGACAGTTACAGCGAGGTGATTTGAGAGCCTTCCCCACCCCTTCCATGGCCTAAGTTGTGCATCAACTCTTTACTTCTCTCCAGCAAGATACACAGAGTAGGGGCTAGAGTAGAAGTGCTGCTTTGCGTCTGAGGCAGGGAGACATTCCTTTCTCTAGATCTAGCCTTTGGCGAGGATTTCTAAAGGGATAGCTGGCACATCCTCACCCTGGCAGGGGGAGAGAGGGTTTGCTTGCATTCCTACTGCAGAGCCGGAAGTTGCTTTTAAAAAAAAACAGGAGCGATCATTTTTTAAACAATGTAAACCTACTCTCTGCACCACCAGGCTTTAAGTTGGCTCCCCTGGAAGGCTATCTTGCAAGGTTTGAACCTCCACCGTGCAAGACAACAAATGAAGTGGGTTCTTGTAGGGGCCGTCATGCCATTCTCAAACTCCATAGGCCCCTGCCATAAAGACCAGCAACGTGTGTGTTTGTTTGTTTTCTCTCTCTCTCTCTTTTCCTTTTCCCTGAACTCCATGGGCTCTATTTCAAATCAATCCCCTTTACACAGCAAAAAAGTATCGGTCTGGTCCACCTTCCTCCCTTTCCCTGCTCTATGCCAGAGCTGAGGCTGGATGCTGCGTTTGTTTTTGATTTTGGCCTAAGAGCTCACTGGGATGTACCTATGACAAAATATGCAGCACAGTGGATTAAGACCATAGACAAGGCAGCCTGCCAAACAGAATCCACAGCGGGATGGGCTCCTTGGCCTGCTGAAGCCAGCCTAGCCCACAGTTTCATTTAAAGCAACCTTCCAAGGTGGTCCTGAAAGTTGATCAGCCCATTCCCCCAAACCGTGATAATTAAACAAAATGTTATTCATCAAAAAATGCTGTACATGTGTGGCACTTCACACCTTCCAGCTGAGTGCCCTACGTGCTGGACTAGAGTTATTCCCATTGTCTCTCTCCGGCCCAATCATTCAATTTATTTATCCACAGTGCAACATCTTCAATAGGTTTCAGAGTAGCAGCCGTGTTAGTCTGTATCCGCAAAAAGAAGAACAGGAGTACTTGTGGCACCTTAGAGACTAACAAATTTATTAGAGCATAAGCTTTCATGGACTACAGCCCAGATATGCATCC